AGCAGCCCCAGGGCAAGGGGAAGGAGCAGGTTCCCACAGGCCCAGGCCCCAGCCCAGCAGCAGGAGTTTGGTTGGCAGAAACAAGCAGGGCTCACCTGTCCAACCAGCACCCCCCCAGACCCACTCTTCACGCCACCTTCTGGGACTCCCGCACTCTGCACCCCAACCTCCACTGCCCCAGAGCCTGGCGCCAGCCCCTCTCTCCCGGCCGTTCTAGTTCCCCCGCGACTCTGGGGTCCAGACTCCAGGCCCTAGACTCCCCCTCAGGGCAGGGTCCGACCACTGGCAAGGACAGGCCTGGGGGAGGGGCGTGGTAGGAAGGAGGAAGACAGAGGCAGAGAGAAATCAGACCCAGGGAACCTTGGCAAACAAACCCAGGGACAGCGCGCTGCGGGCGAGGTGGGCAGGGAGGTGCTCCACACCCCCACCTGCCACCCCACACAGTGTCACAGCGCCACCATAAGGTCCCTGCCTTGCAGATGCCCACCCCATGTACCTCACAGCAGACAGACACTCACCTATGAGCCGTCCCAGACACCAGCCCAAGAAGAAACACGAAGTTCCAACCCCACAAGTACACAAAAGCACTACCAGGAAGAGGCTGGCCCTCGGGAGAGCCAAGGCACAGCTGGGCAGGCCCTGCAGCCCAGGTGGACACACACCCAAGAGCGCCTCACCTGCTACGCCACTCGCCAACCGACAGCCAGGGTCACTCAGAGAACCGTCTCTCCCCATCATCCCCTCCAACCAAGCCCAGACTGCCCCAGAGCACCTACCCCTCCGGAGACAGTCGCTGGGGAATCTGGGCCCGGAGAGGCTGGCCCGAGGGTGGAGTCAGGCCCAGGATGGGGCCAGGGTGTCCCAAGAACCTCACCTGGGCGCTCAGCCTCTCCTTCCAGGGCGGTGCTGGGGAAGACCGGCTCGAGGCCAGGCTGAGACGTGCCCCTCCGCCGCCTCAGGAGAGGAGCAGCAGCCCTGACGCTCTAGTGGGACATCCCACACCCCAGGCCCATGCCGCCCCGGGCCAGGCGGCATGACGGTGCCAGACACGGGTCCGCTCGGAAGAGTAGAGTTAACCACAAAATTCTGAAACCCTTACCCCCTGTCCCCCAGGAGAAATTCCTAACCGGTGATGCCCACCTCGGCCCAGCCCAGGGCTGGAGGAGTGGCAGGGAAGCAGGGCTGGGGCCCAGCGGAGTCAAGTGACAGCGGAAAGGGGGCTGGAGCCAGCTGGAATGCGGGGCTCGGAGCCGAGATTCCCAGGGGCCAGCGAGGGAAATCCCAGCCATCCGGGGCCCCAGAGCGGAGCCCAGGCGGAGCATCTGCCAACCTGTGCAGAGCCCACCCCAGGC